CCTGAACTGGATCCTCCTCGATACAAATGCACAGAAAAGTCAACTTACATGAATAGCTACTCAAAGCCTCAAATCGGGCATCACTCAGGATGTGTCTAATATTGGCTAGTTTCAGCATCCAGGTTTCTAAGAAATGATAAGCTACTTCACTTTTCCAGAGTAAAATGTAGGAGGGAGCACACTCAAAGCACAACTAAAAATTTAGCTCACTGTAACAGTTTCACTCCGAATAAATAAAGCAAAAAACAACAGAAAATGATCTTTATCCTTTTTTTGCTGTTGTTTTAACCAAGATTTAAACATCAAATTTAACATGTCAACTCAGTTCTACATTTGGGGTGTTGTACAAGGTCCATGAAAAATTATTTTGGCTGGGTGTGGTGGCTCATGCCTGTAATCCCAGCACTTTGGGAGGCTGAGGCAGGTGAATCACCTGAGGTCAGGAGTTCAAGACCAGCCTGACAAACGTGGCAAAACACTGTCGCTACTAAAAATACAAAAATTAGCCAGGCATGGTGACTCACGCCTGTAATCAGCTACTCGGAAGGCTGAAAGAGGGGAATCGCTTGAACCCAGGAGGTGGAGGTTGTAGTGAGCCGAGATCATGCCACTGCACTCCAGCCTGGGCAGCAGAGTGAGACTCTGTCTCAAAAAAGAAAAGAAAAGAAAAGAAAAAGACTTATTTCTGTCAAGTTGACAATCACTGTGCTCTTCCCTTCCTCCAGTCATTGTGGTAAGACTGCAGAATCCAGCATAACTTAGGCTAGGTTTGGCTAGATGCTTTCTGGGTATAAGCCAGGTAATCAGAGTCATATAGTGCAACTTTGCTGTGACCCTAGTGATCATCTCTTCTTGAGAACTACAAAAACAAATAATTTTTTATTATTATTATAGAGAATTTAAAACATAAATAAATGTAGACAGACTAGTCTAATGAACTCCCATGTATCATAACCCAGCATCAACTATTTATGACTAATCTACTTCTACTTTCTCTATGTTACTGAACTAATTTTGGAGCAGATCTTAGAATTTAATCTATAAAAATCTTGGTACATTGCCTGGAGACAGTGGCTCACACCTTCTAATCCTAGCACTTTGGGAGGCTGAGGCAGGAGGATAGCTTGAGGCTAGGAGTTCAAAACCAGCCTGGGCAACATAGCAAGACCCCATCTCTACCAAAAAAAATTTTTGTTAAAGAGTTCAGTATATTTCTCAAAAAAATAAGGACTGTAAATTACTCCCCCCAACAAAGATCACTAAGGAAACTTGTTGACTAAGCAAAGTTCATCAAACTTATTGCAGCATAGTAAAGGAGACTATTAACTTGACAGAGCCTTGGTAATGATTCAAAGAGGGGATGTTAGAATAAGGTATTTGTAAGGATTTCAGAAAAAAGTCTAACTAGTTTAAAATGGATCTTTCAAAGTAGGGAACTAGGAGAGACTGAGAAAGTGTTGTGAATAACAGGATTGGTAAACTTAGGAAAGCAACAATCTTAAGTGTAATATGGTTAAAATTATCAGTATTTCATATTTTTTTATCTACTGTGTAAGAAGACAATATAATATATGGGCATTATTGAGAGATATTGCCTGTATATTGTCTTCTTAAACAAGGAGATATTTTTAATCTCCCATATGTTACCGCTCAAACCTTTGTTACATTAGTTTCCAGATATAGATCTGAAATTTATGTTGTATATTCCGTAGTGAGGAAATTTCTTTTTTTTCTAAATGGCTATCAAGTTGTCCCACCACTGGTTATTGAAAAGACCATAATTTCCCACTGCCATTCAATGCCATTTTTATTGTAAATAAACTATGTACAGCTGGGTCTGTTTCTGGGATATTAGTTTAATTGTCATTCCTTGTATTATCTTAATTATTATGCCTTAATTGGACCATCTTAATTATGATAATTTCATTACATTATTATTTCATATCTTAATACCTAATAGATCAAATATTTCCATCTTGTTTTCTTCAAGAGTATTAACTATGTTTGAACTTTTGCATTTCCATATAAAATTTAGAATCAGCCTGCTCCATAAAATGACACTGTTCGGATATTAATTGAAACTGTATTGCATCATTAGGTCAGTTTTAGAATTTTAGTTCTCATTAATTCTAATAATTCATTTGTATGTTCTTACAGTATGAATATTGTTTTATAGGCACATATTTTAAGTTTACATATTATGTCTTATTCTATTTCCTATGTATCTACCACATTTTTAAAATTGACATAAAATATATACAACATGGCCGAGCACAGTGGCTCATGCCTGTAATCCCAGCACTTTGGGAGGCTGAGGCTGGAGGATCACTTAAGGTCATGAGTTCAAGAGCAGCATGGCCAACATGGTGAAACCCCATCTCTACTAAAAATACAAAAATTAGCCAGGCGTGGTGACATGCACCTGTAATCCCAGCTACTCTGGAGACTGAAGCAGGAGAATCTCTTGAACCTGGGAGGCAGAGGTTGCAGTGAGCCAATATCACGCCATTGCACTCCAGCTTGGGTGACAGAGCAAGACTCTGTCTCAAAAAAAAAAGATACACACCACACACACACACACACACACATAAAGTAAAATTTACCATTTTAGCTTTTGTTGTTGTGGTTCATAGAGACAGGGTTTCACCATTCTACTGGACTTAAACTTCTGACCTCAAGCAGTCCACCTGCCTCAGCCTCCCAAAGTGCTGGGATTACAGGCATGAGCCGGCATGCCTGCCTCATTGTAGCTATTTTTAAGTGCATAATTTAGTGGCATTAAGTATTTTTACAATGTTGCACAATGTTCACAATGTTGTGCAACTGTCACCACTATCAATTTCCAGAACTTTCTTAAGTTCTTCCAAACTAAAACTCTGTACCTATGAAACAATAACATCTCATTCCCCCATCCCTATTCCTTCAGCCCTTGGTAACCTGTATTCTACTTTCTGTCTCTATGAATTTACCTATTCTAGGCACCTCATTTAAGTGGAATTATATAATATTTTTTCTTTTGCATTTGTCTTATTTTACTTAGCACAATATTTTCAAGGCCCATTTATGTTATAGCATGTATCTTCTTTTTTTTTTTGAGACAGTCTCTGTCACCCAGGTTGGAGTGCAGTGGTGTGATCATAGCTCACTGCAACCTCACAGTTCTAGGTTTAAGGGATCCTCCCACCTCAGCCTCCCAAGTATCTGGGACTGTAAGCACACTCCACCATGCTCAGCTAATTTTTTAAAACAAATTTGTGTACAGATAGGGTCTCACTTTGTTTCCCAGGCTGGTGTCAAACTCCTGGGTTCAAGCGATCCTCCCACCTCAGCCTCCTTTTCTTTAAGATTGAATAATATTCCATGCATATATATACCACAGTTTGCTTCTCCATTATCTGTTGATGGACACTTGAGTTGTTTTCACCTTTTGGCTATTGTGAATTATGCTGTTATGAACTCTGGTGTACAAGTATCTGTTTGTGTCCCTTTCAACTCTTTGACATATACATTCAGAAGTGGAATTTCTGGATTATACCGTAATTCTATATGATTTGTTTTGTTTGAGACAGTCTTGCTCTGTCACCCAGGCTAGATTGCAGTGGCGTGATCTTGGCTCACTGCAACCTCTCTCACAGGTTCAAGCAGTTCTTCTGCCTCAGCCAACCAAGTAGCTGGGACTGCAGGCACACACCACCAATCCTTGCTCATTTTTGTATTTTTAATAGAGACAAAGTTTTGCCATGTTGGCCAACTGATCTCAACCTTGTGACTTCAAGTGATCCGCCCACCTCAGCCTCCTACAGTGCTGGGATTATAGGCATAAGCCACCGCACCTGGCCAATAATTCTAGTTTAAGAGTTTGGAAATGCCAAACTTTTCCACAGTGGCTGTACCATCTTACATTCCCACCAGCAATACACAAGTGTTTCAATTTCTCCATATCCGCATCAATGCTTATTTTGTTTTTGTTTGTGTCTTGTAATAGCCATATTAGCGGATATAAAGTGGTATTCCATGGTGGTTTTGATTCATATTTATCTAATGGCCAATGCTTGAACAACTTTTTTTTCTTTTTTTGTTTTGAGATGGAGTTTTGCTGTGTTGTCCAGGCTGGAGTGCAGTGGTGCTATCTCAGCCTGCTGCAACCCCTGCCTCCCAGGTTCAATTGATTCTCCTGCCTCAGCCTCCCAAGCAGCTGAGATGACAGGCACGTGCCACTGAGCTCAGCTAATTTTTGTATTTTGAGTAGAGATGGGGTTTTACCATGTTAGCTAGGCTGGTCTTGAGCTCCTGACCTCAGGTGATCCACCCACCTCCCAAAGTGCTGGGATTATAGGCATGAGCCACCGTGGTTGGCCTTGAGCATCTTTCTGTGTGCTTTTTGGCTATTTCTGTATCTTCTTTGGAGAAATGTTTATTCAAGTTCCTTGCCCATTTGTGAATTAAGTTGTTGATTTGTTTTTGAGTTGTAGGAGTTCTTTATACATCCTTACATGTTCCAGATAGTAACTTCTAATCGGATATAAGATTTGCAAATATTTTCTCTGATCGTGTAGACTGTTTCACTCTCTCTCTCTCTCTCTTTTAATGTAAATCAACCCATTTATTATAGGCCAGTGATGTCTCAAAGAGTGCTGGAGCATCTACCGTTCTTTCAATTCCTTCAGTCTTCTGATGGCAGACTTGATGTGACAGAGGAAGTGGTATTGTAGGTCCAGGTACCACCAGCCACTGTCTTCATGCAGTAACCACAGTGCCTGATTTTCACAGCTTGTCTCTTCATCTTTGTTTTGCCACAGAAAGAGCAAGTGTACTTGGCGTGCTGGCCGATTTCAATTTCTTTCACCATTTTCCGGGCGGAGGCCCCATAGAGGGTCCAGTATTTACTGATCATTCTGACTTTTTTTTTTTTCTTTTTGAGACAGAGTCTCACTGTGTCACCCAGACTGGAGTACAGTGGTGTGATCTCAGCTCAGTGCAATCTCCGCCTCCCAGATTCAAGCTATTCTCCTGCCTCAGCCTCCCTAGTAGCTGGAACTACAGGCACGCAGCACCATGCCCGCCTATTTTTGTATTTTGAGTAGAGACAGGGCTTCACCATGATGGCCAGGCTGGTCTCCAATTCCTGACCTTGAGTGATCCTCCCACCTCGGCCTCCCAAAGTGCTGGGATTACAGGCATGAGCCACTGCCTGGCCTCCTTCTGACTTTCTTGATGCGTTTGCCCATGTCACTGAAAACTAGGTCCCAGCCCAGAGAGGAAGATGTTGTTTCACGCTCTAGACACTATCTCTTTTTTTTTTTTT